AAAAAAAAAAAAAAGTGCATTGTTGTCAGGCCCAGCCCCGCCCCGCCCCCACCACCATGTTGTCCCACTTACCGATGTTAAAATCTGGTCACCCTATACGAGAGTGAACAGAGCAAAGACCCTGTCTCAAGGCTCATATCCTGGTGGGGAGAGACAAGAAATAGACCAACACATCTATGTCCAGTGTAATGTGATGCCAGTGAGTGCAGCAGGGATCAAGCAAGGTGAAGGGTAGGTGAGGACCCTTGGGTCTGGGATGACCAGGCCAGGCCCATCAGAGGTTACCTGAGTGAAATGAAGGAGCAAGCACATGGCCATCTGGAGGGGACATTTAGGCAGAGAGCTGTGGGCCTAGGGAGGACATGAGTGGACTATTCAGGCTTTATTCAACACTGGGCAGGGTGGCCTCCGATGTATTGTAGGGACAGCCCGAGGCTGCGTGGTTGGAGTGATGCACTGTGTGGTGGGGCTTGTGAACAGTCTCTCAGGTCATGAGCGGAGTTTGAATTTCATTCCCCATGTGATGGGACATCACCAGAAGTTTTCCAGAAGGGCCTGATTGGATCTGACTTAAAAGATCAGAGTGGCCAGCGGCGCCTGTGGTTCGAGGAGTAGGGCGCCAGCCCCATACTACTAAAAAAAAAAAAAAAAAAAGATCAGAGTGGTCACGGTGTGGAAAATGGCTGCAGGGGATGGGAAGGGAGCAGGCAGCAGGAAGTCACCCCGGGAAGCCTGGAGGGAGATGGTGTGGAGGTAACGATGGAGCAGTAATGAGAGTCCCATGGGCAAGGCCAGTGGGATTCAGGAGCTGAAGCCACTAGGCCTTGGCAGGGGAGAGGAAGAAGAGGGCAGGCACGACACGCGGAGGTGCACAGGTTTCAGTGACGGAGACCAGCTTGTCCTCGTGTTGTAAAACCCCGCGTGGGTGGGGCTGCGAGGTAGAGGTCTCCTCTGTCGACCAGACCAGGATGTCCTGACCCTTCACCTTCCTTTCTCCCGGCCAGGAGGCAGGAGCGGTTGTTCTGGGATCGGCCACTTGAGGGCAGCACAGAGCCAGCTCCCCTCCCGGGCCGTCCGCGGAAGGGGTGTGGCTCAGGAGAGACTGGGTGGGGCCTCCTGCCCCGCGTTTCCTTCTAGGCCAGGGCTGGCTTGTGGGGTGGGCTCCCAGGAAGCAGAGGTGGGGGAGGAGTCTTTTCTGGCATTGTCTTTGGGATCCAGTGAGGTGCTGGAGGCGGGGTGCCTGGTACACAGTAACGAGGCTGAGCCCCGCCCCGGGGCTCTCACGCTTCTGGTCTCAACTCCTTTTTACCTCCTATGCTTCGTGCCTCCCAACAGCAGCGTCACTGGCTTTGCTCAGGCTGTCCCCCTTGGCTGGAAGACCCTTTCTGGGGCATCTGTGAATCCCCTCCATGGTCCTTCAAGGGCCCACTCTGGAGCTCTTGTTCCCCAGAAGCCCTGAGTGCTGCCCCTGACCTGGGTCTCCATCCCAGCTTCCTGTGACCTGGCCATTACTAGTCCTTCTCTCCACTGCTTCCGGGGGAGAGGGTGGCTGCTTTGATATGGTTTGTCCTGGAGTCCTCAAGTTGCATCAGCTTGGGTTCTGGGGCAATGTTAGCTGCAGTGCTGGGCCATACTGAGGTCTGCCTGGGTGTTTGTGCCACACAGTGTTGTGGCGTGGGGAGGGCCGCTCACACCTGGCTGTTGCTCTGCCTTGCACAGGCCACCTATGTCTACATGAAGGCCGCCTACCTCAGCATGTTTGGGAAGGAGGACTACAAGCCTTTCGGGGATGACGAAGTGGAGTTATTTAGGTGGGTCCTATCATCATGCTCCCATTGCAGGCCTCAGCTGTGGACAGAGGGCACCAGGGAGGGGACTGGTGGGGTGGTCATCTCCCCTGGCTCCCTGCCCCTGCCCCAGGATGGTGCCATGTGCTCGTTGTCCCCTCCCATCACCACTCCATGCTCCTGCAGCTGCTGATCAGAAAGCTTTGAATGTGTTCAGAGGTTTTCTTTCACAGAAGTGGTTTTGTCAACATCCTCTACACTGAGCCTCTTTCATCTGTTTGGTAGGATAGATGTGGACTCTGAGGTCTGAGAGAGGAAAGTTCTTCCTTCTGCTGAGTTAACCTGATACGCTCAGAGAAGCACAGTAGGGAGCCCCAGAGTTAGAATCAAACAGGATCAGACCCAGCCTCTGCCATTTCGTGTCACCTGGGGCAATTTCAGCAACTGTAAAATAGGAATAACAACCTCCACCTTGCAGGGTTGTTTTGTGAATCAACTAGATAATATATAATATTTAAAGAGCTGGGCATAAGACCTGGAATTTAGTAAGCTGCTCAGCCAGTGGTAGCTGTTTTCATTCTTATCTATGCACTGTATTTACCTCCTGCAAAAGGTCATTAGAGCAGAGCTCAGCCTTGGCAGGCTGAGGAAGGAGCCTATAGCCTTCCTCCAGTCAAGGTAAGGGTGGCCCCAATTTGCAGACCTGGTAGTGGGTGTAATAGGAGCTTCCTAGGCTCATAATAATAGGGCATTTATCACTTAAAGAGTGCCTGCTACTGCAGTGGAGGTCCCCATCTCGTATTACTCTTCTAGAAAGCCTTATGAGGATGGGTGTCATCTCCAGCTTAGAGATGAGGAAACTGAGACCCAGAGAGGTTCCACAGTGAATAAGCAGGAGGAATTTGTGGGGACTCAGACCTCACACCTACATCCAGCTATTTCCTGAGCCTGAATGGCTCAGGCCTGAGGTTATAGCCACACCTGGTGACTGTGGCATAAATCAGAGGGTGGGATGGAGCTGGGTAGGTGAGGTCCCGGATGTGGAGGCTTGCCTAGCTGAACACCATACAATTTCCTCTGCCCTTGGAAACAGCTGAGAAGGCCACAGCTCATGAGGCAAGAGTTAATTAAGGGTTTGGCTTTGGACTTATATAGGTCCCACCCTTTCTCTGGGTGTTAGTCTCCCTTGTGAAAATGGGATTAGACTTCCAGAGGGCTCTCCCCAGAAATAGGGCCTGGGAGTGGAAGAGAGCTAACTAGGAGACAGAGCAGGCTTAGGGACATGTAGATGCATTCTTATCTCTGCCAGCTGGTATGGAAGAGTCCCTTGCCCAGACATAAGAAGCTTCCAGGTCTTGGGCATGGCCTTGAAATAAGACCGTAACTACAGGCTGTTTCAGCCCTGCAAGGCTCTTTTGGGTCCAACATTCTCATCATATAAATGGGGCAACAGATTAAGAGAAGGGCTATGCAGAGGCTGGGTAGGATGGGGACTCTCAGTCCTCTCTCATTTCGTCACATCCTCTCCTCAACCTCCCCATCTCTTTTGCAGAACTGTGCCAGGCCTGAAGCTCAAGATTGCTGGGAAATCTCTGCCCACAGAGAAGTTTGCCATCCGAAAGTCTAGACGCTACCTCTCCCCCAACCCTATCTCATTGCCAATCCCTGCTCTGGTGGGTAGGAAGGTCTGGACTGGTCCCTCCCCCTGGTTTAGGATTGTGGGGATTGAGCCACTACCCTGAGAGGGAAGGGGGTGAGGAGAAAGGCCTGCGTGCTCTGGCCTAGGGAGGAGTTTACACTTTACCTGGGACCTGGCAAGGATGAACAGAGATGAGTGTGACATAGCCCTGCCCCTTAGAAAGTGATGTTCCACAGTGGTTATGGTGCCAGCCACATATATCCAGGCTGGTGTGTTCAAACCCAGCCCTGGCCAGCTGAACAACAATGGCAACTGCAACAAAAAAATAGCTGGGCATTGCGGAGGGCGCCTGTAGTCCCAGCTACTTGGGAGGCTGAGGCAAGAGAATCACCTGAGCCCGAGTTTGGTGTTGCTGTGAGCTATGATGCCACTGCACTCTACCAAGGGTGACAAAGTGAAACTCAAAAAAAAAAAAAGAAAGAAAAACTGTTGACTGAGTGCCTATAGCTCAGTGGCTAGAGCGCCAGCTACATACACAGGAGCTGGTGGGTTCAAACCCAGCCCAGGCCTGACAAACAACAGTGACAACCATAACAAAATAGCCAGGCGTGGCCTATGGCTCAGTGAGTAGGGCTCTGGCCCCATATACTGGTGGTGGCAGTTTGAACAGAGTCCCAGCCAAACTGCAAAAAAAAAAAAAAAAAAATAGCCAGGCTTTGTGGCAGGTGCCTGTAGTTCCAGCTACTCAGGAGGCTGAGGCAAGAGAATTGCCTAAGCCCAGGAGTTAGAGGTTGCTGTGAGCTGTGTGACGCCACGGCACTTTGCCAAGGGTGATAAAGTGAGACTCTGTCTTTACAAAAAATATATATATATATATGTTAGAACCACCTCCTTACACTGACTGCCTCCTTCAGTTGACCTAATTTTCATAGACTAGGCATGCACCACACGTCTAGTATCAGTCTATCAGTATACGAGGCCTCGTTCCTTATGTTGACCACCTTCATACGTTAACCAGTTTGTTGCTGTCCCTTGGATGCTCAATTTACAGAAGTTCTACTGTGTATACTTTTTCTATCAACAGAGAAAACGTATTAAATGCTTCATAAATTGAAAAGTTCAATGTTAGTCAGGCATGGTGGCTCATGCCTGTAATCTTAGCACTTTGAGGCTGAGTGGGTGGACTGCTTGAGTTCAAGAGTTCGAGACCAGCCTGAGCAAGAGTAAGACCCTATGTCTCCTAAAAATAGAAAAACTAGCTGGGCATTGTGTTGGGCACCTGTAGTCCCCAGCTACTCAGGAGGCTGAGGCAAGAGGATCTCTTGAGCCTAAGAGTTTGAGGTTGCTGTGAGCTATGACACAATGTCACTCTACCTAGGGTGTCTGTCTCAATGAAAAAAGAAAAAAGAAAGAAAAGTTTAATGTTTACATAGAATCATATTTAGAGCCTATATCTGGAATATTTCTAAATAAATTTTAAACTATCTTATAGTTTAAAATATACAGTAAAGCTGTTACTACCAAATGGAGGAGGAGGATATTGTAAAAACGGCAGGAGAAGTAACTACACTGAAAATTCAGGGAAAAATTTCCCAAACTCTAATATGCAAAATACCATTTATGCATAAAGTGATTTTTGTGATTAGTTCATTTGGGAAAGACTGGCCTAAATAGAATTTATACATTGTAGACTTTTTTGAAACCTTTATATTCTAATCTGTATGGTGAATCTCCAAGAAGCTCAAAGATGAAATTTTTCCCTAACTTGTTTGGCCACAGAACCCTGCCCCATCCTTTTTTTTAAAATGAAACATTTGCTAACTCAGGACCACAGAACAATTTGAGAAATACTAGTCTAAACTTAAATTTTTTTCCTAGAATATAATAACAAGAACCACAATGATAATGTACTTCTAGAACTTTATGCAAAGCACTTTTATACCTGGTACCAGGTTTGGTAGTTTAGGAAATGCTAATTTAAGCTAACAAGATTACTATGAATGAAAATTTAATTAAGTATTCTCAGCTTCCTGGCAGTCCAAACAAAAAGGAATCAGCATGTTTTATGGTTTTCTTGATGAACTCAAGTCTAAAGGAAATGGAATATGAGTTGTCATTTTTGAGCCCATTGTTTTGTGGGAATAGGAGAGAGAAGGTGACATAATCTTAAACTCTGTTGTCCTGAAGTGCTTAAGTAAGTTACAGTTCCTCCTATATGTGGGTCATTCAAAAGTTTTGAGATACACAAAAAGCAAGAAATGTAAAATCCTCATGGACAGAACAAATGGAGCCCTCCCTGCAACACTGAAAAGCCAAGCACGAGTGAAACAGAAAGGTCACTGCTGACTGTGTTTCTTAGAAGTGAAATAATTAACCATAACACAGTCTGTCTCAAAACTTTTGTATGGACCTAGGTAGTAGTAGGCCTTGCCCAATGGAGCAAGGAGGAGAACTTCCTGCATAGTGTGGGGCATGGCCTGGTCCTCAAAGAATGGAGAGTTTGGACACAGATTGAGAAAAAAGGCATAATAGTACCCAGGAAGGCAATGAGCAGAAAGGTAGCTGGGGAAGTATTAGCAGCTATAAACAGAACAGTGAGGGCACTGATCCATGTGAAATCTGCAAGATCTCAGTAATAAGTGATGAGGCTCCCTCCATAATCTTCTCAAGTGCACAGCTTCACAGGCTGGGCTGAGACTTGTGGAAGATTCGAGCCAGGGCTTTTAGAGACCCTTTAATCTGAGCTGCCCATTTTATAGATAGGAAAACAGAGGCCCTACTGGGAAATAACCTAGGACTGACTTGCCCTCCTGCCCTCAGGAAATGATGTACATCTGGAATGGTTATGCTGTGATTGGGAAGCAGCCGGAACTCACGGAGGGGATACTTGAGATTATCACCAAAGTTGAAGAAACGCTGGAAAAAGGCCCAGGTGACTACCCTCAGGCCCTTGAACCTGCCAGACTATGTCAGATCTTTATTATTGAAGGTTCCCTTTGCCAAAATGTCTTTCCTTGTCTACCCTTGTAGCTGTCCTTTGTCCTTTTAGACTGAGCTCCATTGTCAGCTCCTCCAAGCAGCTGGCTCTTGTCCCCCAGGTAGGGTCAGAGCCTTCTTTGGGCTTCTGCAGCCTTGGGCTTCCTTCAGTCAGCCTCAGTATTTGCCTGCCTTTCTCGGATGTGAGCCCCCAGAGAACAGGGACTGTGTTTGAGTTACCTTGTCCCCTGGGCCCATCACGGGATAGCGGCTCCATGTATAACTGCTGCAGAAATGAGCAAGCCTGTCTTCTTCACATCCCTGTTTTCAGAGAATGAGTACTCAGTGGATGACAAGTGCTTGGTGAAATTGTTGAAAGGCCTGTGTCTGAAATACCTGGGCCGTGTCCAGGCGGCCGAGCAGAATTTCAGGATCATCCCTGCCATGTAAGTCCCTCTGCAGCTGCTCCCACTGGGCCTGGGTCTTGTGGGTGGAATCTTTCGGGCTTCTCCATCCTCACGCCCAGTGGCTGACCTACAGCAGCTCCCATTCACCACACATGTACCAGGGTCTACTCTGTGCCAGGACCTGTGCTGAATGCAAGAGGCACAGATAAATCAGACCTAGCCCCTCAGTGGCCACCAAATGGCCTGACTATAGGAGCCCAGCCCCCCACCTCCCGGTGTTTGTATGTGCTCCAGGGGCTCCCTATAGGGAGCTTGACCTAAGAAAATCAGGAAAGCTGAGAGGACAGGAGGTGCCCTGAGGAGGGACCTACACATAATGGGAGGTACCAGGAAAGGCTTTCCAGGGCCAACATTTAGAAGTTTATCAGGCAGAGAAAGCAGGGGAGAGAGTGGAGTCGGTACAGCATGTGCCAATGGCTGGACATAAGAAGGACTCTGGAGGCTGGAGTGATGGTGGCTAGGCCCTTCCCTGCCTGGGTTGAAGATGAAATAAGGCTAGACTTAGAAGCACCTGGATATTTTATCCACAAAGCTAAACTTTATTCTGCAGGCAGGAGAGAACCAGGAAGGAAACCAGGCAGGGCAGACTGGAGTTGTTTTTTGTTGTGGTTTTTGAAACAGGGTCTTATTCTGTTGCCAGGCTGAAGTGTAGTGGTGTGATCATAGCTCACTGTAACCTCAAGTTCCTGGGCTCCAGTAATCCTCCTGGCTCAGTCTCCTGAGTAGCTGGGACCACAGGCACATACCACCATGCCTAGCTAATTTATTTTTATTTTTATTTTTTTGTAGAGTCGGGGTCTTGCTATCTTGCTGTTTTGCCAAGGATAGTCTTGAACTCCTGAACTCAAACAATCTTCCCACCTAGGCCTCCCAAAGTGCTAGAATTACAGACATGAGCCACTGTGCCTGACTAGGTGTGGGTTTTAAAGGGGCAGGATGGGAAAGCATGGAGGGCAGTTCAGAAGGGGCCAGATTAGAGAAAGGAAATTTTCCAGTTTAACAAGTAATTCTTTATTCAGAGCACAGACAGCCTAAAAAAAAGAAAAAATTCATTCAACCTGGGGAAAAGGGGATTGGGGCTTAGGTGAGGGTGGGCTAAGGACTTGACAGGAGCCATGAGCTGTCAGGGAATACAGCAAGATTCTGCTGTGGATCCCATTCTTTCTTTTTCTTCTTCTTTTGGCTGGGGCTGGGTTTGAACCCACCACCTCCAGCATATGGGACCATCGCCCTACCCTTTTGAGCCACAGGTGCCACCCTTATTATTTTTTTAAGAGACAGTCTTATTTTGTCATCCTCAGTAGAGCACCATAGTGTCACAGCTCACAGCAACCTCCAGCTCTTGAGCTCAGGCCATCCTCTTGCCTCTGCCTCCCAAGTAGCTGGGACTACAGGCACCTGCCACAATGCCCGGCTATTTTTTGTTGCAGTTTTGGCCAGGGCCGGGTTTGAACCCACCACTGTCGGTATGTGGGGCTAGTGCCCTACTCACTGAGCCACAGGCGCTGGCCTGAGCCCATTCTTTCTAGTGCAAGGTAGTAGGAACCTTCCAAAATTGGAATTCCTATCAGGAAAACCTCATATGAGGTTTGAGGAAGACTCAGGAGGAACCCGAAAGATGTCTGGAGGGTAAAGCCTGTGAGACATGTCCTCCTCCGTTCTGCAGTGAAAAGAAGATTAAATATGACCACTACTTGATCCCAAATGCCCTGCTGGAGCTGGCCCTGCTGTGTATGGAGCAAGGCAGAAATGAAGAGGCCATCAAACTCCTGGAATCTGCCAAGTAAGGCTTGGGTAGTTTAATCTGTCCTTTGCTCCCTCTGAATTCAGCTCAGGAGCTGGCGGCGGGCAGGAGCCCAGGCAGCAGAGTGAGGTTTGCTGGCAAGGGCAGGATGGCAGTCCAGAGAGTGGACCTGTGTCCTTGAGAACTTGGCTCTCACCTGGCATAGGAAGGCTTTCTCTTCAATTTACAAATGAGGACTTGGAATCCCAGAGGCAGGAAGTGAGTTGTCCAGCTCACTGGTCTGAGGACACGTCTTCTTGCCTTTCAGTGCCAGCCAGGATCTATCTCCCAAAATCACCCCCTAGGCTTAGGTACCCAAAAGGACCAAGAGTGGTTTCAGAAGGCATGATGCTAGGGATGAGGGTGAGAGGCTACAAGTCCTTCCTGATAAGGTTAGTCCTCCTATTGGACAGGGCTCAACTTTTTTTTATTCTTTTTGAGACAGAGTCTTGCTCTGTTGGCCAAGTTCGAGTACAGTGATGTCATCATAGCTCACAACAACCCCAAACTTCTGGGTTTAAGCCATCCTCCTGCTTCAGATTCCTAGTTAGCTGAGACTATAGCTGCCTGCCACCATGCCCAGCTAATATTTTTTTTTAAGAAGACAGAGTCTCACTTTGTAACCTTCCGTAGAGTACTGTGGCATCACAACTCACAGCAACCTCTAGCTCTTGGGCTTGGGTGATTCTCTTGCCTCAGCCACCCGAGTAGCTGGGACTACAGGTGCCCACCACAATGCCCGGCTATTTTCTTGTTGCAGTTTGGCCAGGGCCGGGTTTGAACCCACCACCCTGGGTATATGGGGCCAGCACCCTGTTCACTGAACCACAGGTGCCACCCAGTATTTTTTTTTTCTTAAGAGATGAGGTCTTGGCTCGGCACCTGTGGCTCAAGCGGCTAAGGTGCCATCCACATACACCTAAGGTGGCGGGTTCGAATCCCCAGCCC